CTCAGCTCCCCCTCCTCCTTTTCAGCACTCTCCTCCTCAGCTTTCTCTTCCTCCTCCTCTTCCTCCTTCTCCATGTGGACCTCACTAGTCTGCTCTCCTGTGAGACCAGGTCTGCCTGTCCCTCACCCTCCCCAAGGCTGGGACCCATGTGGCTCTAACCCACCTCTCTTGCTATCCTGGCAGGAAAATTGAAGCCAGTCATCAAGTCACAGCCGGTGCCCAAGAACAACAAGGGACCAGTTAAGATTGTAGTGGGGAAGACATTTGAGGACATCGTGCTGGACCCCAGTAAGGACGTGCTTATCGAGTTCTACGCCCCATGGTGCGGACACTGCAAGCAGCTAGAACCTGTGTACACGGCACTGGGCAAGAAGTACCGTGGCCACAAGGGCCTGGTCATCGCCAAAATGGATGCCACAGCCAACGAGGCCACCAGCGACCGCTACAAGGTGGATGGCTTCCCCACCATCTACTTTGCACCCAGTGGGGACAAGCAGAATCCCATCAGATTTGAGGGTGCCGACAGAGACCTGGAGCACCTGAGCAGGTTCATCGAGGAGCATGGCACTCAGCTGGGCCGGGCCAAGGAGGAGCTCTGAGCCAGCCGGGTGGACACTGATGGGCACTGAACTCTTGACGGTCCACCTCATGCTCTGAATACTGACTAGATGTGAATGCTTAGATAGTTTAGTCCAGATTTTTATGGAAAAGTGTATCTATTTTTGTCATTGTTTGAGATTTGGCTTTTTTTTTTTAACCTTCCTTTTACACCCCCCCACCCCCCAATTTTTCAAAACAAGTTTAATCTCATGTGTGTGAATGGTTGTTTTTTGGGGTTGGTTGTTTTTTTGTTTTTGTTTTTTTTTATTTAAAATTTGAAAAACAAAAAGCTTTTGCCAAAGCATGTTGGTTTTGCCTTTTTATTTTCTCTCTCAGCTGAGTAGACTGTATCCTCTGAGCAGGTATTACTGTCAGTGTGCTGGGATGTGCGTGTGGCTGTCTGAAGAGATGTGACCGTGTGTTTCCGTGAACTTCCTTGTCTGAGGCTGTGTGATGTTATGTTTTGCCGTGTGAGATGTCACTGGGTATTTCCCATTCTAAGGAGAGAGATTGTTGGTGTGTGAGCGTTTCCACTGGGGAAGTATGACGGCCTGAGTGCGTCCCAGCCTGAGGGGGTGTGACCCTCAGTGTGTGCTGTATTTTATTACTGTGTGAGGACACCGCCCTGTTGGTGTATGACTGCATTTATCTCTGCAAAGGCATCACTGTTTTTTGCTTGAGGAGACTTGCCTGGAATATGTGTGCCCTCTGAGGAAGCATGTTCCCCATCTGAGAAGATGTGACCATGTGCTCTGCAGCCCGAGGAAGTATGACTCAGGTGTGCTCCCCCCCTCCCCCCATCTGAGCCGCATTGGGAAACATCTCTGTCCTAGGACAGGTGGGTCAAACCTGAGAGGTATGAGTTATCTCCGTACCAAGAATCCTGGTGCTGAAGACACTCAGTGGAACCCGGGCATGTTTTGGGGTGTTGACTGATGATTGGTGAGCAGGGCAGAGAGGTCTGCCTCTGGGACAGGAGTCATGCTTATGGGGGGCTGATCTGTAGCCAGAGTCTCACCAGAATTCATCAGGATGGGCTTATCACCCACTGTCGTTGTTGAACATCATTGACTTGGAACTGACCCAGCCAGTTTTCAGGCTAGGACTTCACATGGAACGAGATTGTCCTGCAGAGTAGTTGGTGAATTCAAACTGCTTACCTTTGCATCGGTAGCACAGCTCCTTACAAAGCCACCAGAGCACCCACTCTAACCTAATCGGAACACAAAACCACCCCCACCTGCTCAGTGACATCCAGGAGTGGCAGGGAAATGTCTCCTAAGGGACAGCCTCAGTGGTCAACTCTAAGCACATAAGAACAGAATTGATCATAGTTCTGGAGGCTGGAAGTCCAAGGTGGCTTCAGCAAGGCCAAGTTCCCTCCTGAGGACTCAGGGAGCAGGGTGCTTCTTGGCTCTTGCCTCATGGGCTTCCCGTTGTCTTTGACCTGCACGTTTGCACTCTGCCTCCATGGCGCTGTGTGTCTTAGGACAGTATTCATGGACTGGGTGGGACCTGCCATGCTCTACGGTGGTCTCACGGGAACGGACATCTCCCAAGACCCCTTGTCGTGGTCAAGTTCACAGGTACCAGAGCCAAGACTTGAACACATCTCATTAGGATCGCAATCCAGCCATTCACAGTGGAAGGCGATGATGGGAGGAACATGACCTGACCAGATGGGTACTTCAATGGGGAGAGTAACAACAGTTTACAAAACAGTTTAGCAAAAGTGGGCCAGGTTATCTGAGGTGAGGGTCTCTGGGGAGTCACCAGCCACTGAACACTGAGCAGGACACCCACCCCACTAGAGAATCTGGGGAGGAGGCCAGATGAGGACTCACCCCCTCTGGTGAACCTGCAGGGAGGCCTGGCCAGGGCAGCTGATCGTGCAGGGAGGGATTCAGTGATGTGGAGCAAACAGCTTGAGAAAGGCTGGGGAGAGAGCAGGCTCGCTCTGCTAGGGGCCAGGGTCTTCCAGGAAGTCTGAGTTGAGGTGACCTTAGATGCTTGGCTGAGGCCCTTTCCCAGCAGACACTGAAGGGAGCAGTGAGCATTCATTCCTTGCCACCTGCCATGACCACTAGGCTGAGCACTGCCCAGCCCCTTGTCCATAACAAGGGGCTGCAGTTTTGAGTCCCAGTGTCCATCTTGCCCCTCCATGGTAGGAAGTGACCACACTTCCAGTGTGAAAACTGGTTCCTGATACTGCATACCTGCAGACCAGGTCGGATGCCCCCAATGGCCCCAAACGTCTTTCCAACTGATACACTGAGCACCAGCAAAGAGGCTGCCATAAGCTTCTGCACCCGCCTCCAGCAGCTCTGTCCATGGGAAGTCCTGTGGGGTACAGCCCACTCTTAACACTGTGTTCCCAGGTTCCTTGGGGGTCTCCATACGGCAGCTGTGTCCCCCGTGTGTTCACATGTTGCAGCATCTGGGCTGTAGGATGTGCTCAGCATTGACACAGCTTCATTCCTGTGACAAAGCCTTTGTTCCCAGGATGGCTTCGGTCACACTCCCTTTTCTTGCAGGATGTGTTATGATCATAGGAACCACCTGGCACAGAGGGACCCTTGGGACTGGGGTGGGGCAGTCTAGGGACACAGAAGACATGAGCAGTCCCCAGTTTGGAAGCAAGATGGTCTGGGGGCTTTGGGGCAAGTGTCACCAGAGTTGATTTCCTTATTTCTGGGCTTCCTCTGGGAACCCTTCACTCACCATCTGACGTCTGTAGACACCTTGGCTGCTGCAGACACATCTGCCTTAGTCCTCACCCCACCCATTTGTCCCTCCTAGAGCAGGTGCCCCATATGACACTGCTTTAAAGGACCAGCACTGTGCCTTCCCTCCTGTATGTGCAGCTTACAACTAAACAAAACTCCTCTCCACGCAGGCTCCCAGGGACAGGCACAGGGGCAAGTGTCTCTCTGGGTTCACAAGTCACACCACACTTGGCTGGATTTGGCACAAGGGTGGCAGCTGAGCGGACAGTGCTGTGTTTCCTAGTCCTAGAGACACAATACCCAGGAGTGAGTGCCATCCTTGTCAACCCCTCTTATGTCTCTGAAATGGCTAGCTGACTGAACGGGGGCACTCAGGACACCTATGCTGTCTGGTCACCTGGGCTATATGTAGCTGGTCATCCTAGGTTATGTGTGGTCACTCTTGAACCCACTGATAGGTCCCAGTCCCCCAACAGCCTTGTCTTTCTTTGGTAGGCCACAGGGAAGGGCAAGATTGCCCACAGCCACACTGGCATGTCCAGCTACCACCAACCCAACAGCTGGGCCCACAGTCACCATAATTCCACATCAGACCTAGAAGTTCAAGGGTCCTCCTGCTCAGGTGGTACCAGACGTGGACCCACCTTGCTTTGGGCTCTAGAAGCTGCCCCAGTAGAGTCCATCAGGGAAGAGGAGCCGACCTTCCACACTGCCAGGACAGGGGTGCTGCGTACTGGAACAGCAGGGTCCAATCTGGGGCCTAGCTCCCAAACCCATGAGGCAGAGGTCAGTGGGTGCTAGGACTGAGCTGACTCCAGCCCAAAGGTGTCCCCTGGGGACCTGGGGGGTGCCAGCCACAGCCTGTGGCAATTGAGGGCCACTGTCCTGGCTTAGGGTCCAGTGTCTCCCCAACACCAGGGTCCACATTATGGTGTGGAGGCAAATGCGTGACTGCACCCCAGCATCCGTCTCTACATCTTCATAGTTCAAGGGTGTTCTGAATGAGAGGGGTCTTGGGGGGGGGGTCCCAGAGTAGGGGCTGTTGGGTCAGGGGAGGGGTAGTGATATCTCAGGAGGTGGATTATCAGGGTGGGGGGTGCTAGGGACTGGGGTCTCTGGGCGAAAGACACCTGGAACAGGGATTAAGGGGCGGCAGATCCAAGGGTGAAGGCTCCTGGGGCAGGGGCTCCCGGGACAGAGCCCAGGGATAGTTATTCCCAGGGAGTGGGTCTCACAGTACTTGGACTGAGGAGGCTGCTGGCATGCTCTGGCCTGGCCTCCCGGCTGACTCCCGTGCACCACTCGCTCAGGAAGCAGGGAATTGAGGATGCTCATTTGCATGTATCTCTCCCAGCATGCAGTGCAGATGGTGAGAAATGCATTTCTCTTTCACACACCTTTACTGTTCCTGGTGACTATGTATGAAGGAATCTACAGGAGTAACCATCATCTTTTGGGGTGTGGGTAGTTACAAATGAAAATTCACCGTAAGGCAAAAGAGAAAATATTCTTGAGCTTTAAATAGTTCCAGAACAGTAGCAATACTGACTGGTCCGAAGGTAGTGGGTTCTCTCAACTATTGCTCACAGTCAATTACAGGTCGACCTACTTGTCTACCCTTCTCACTACTGCGCTTGACCGGTCTTTTGTGGCTCTCTATAGTTTATTTTTGTTTAAGTATTTTTTTGTCTACATTTTACTTATTTTTTTTTATTTTCATGTTGTTGAGAAAGCACACAGAAAAACATAAAAATTCAGCAATTACAAGAATGGACAATACCTACTCATATTATCTTTTTTGTCATATTTTTGTATTAATTTTAATGAAAATTTACAGACTTTGGATTTCCATTCATTCATTCTTGCACTTTTCTCCCTGCCCACCCCTCCCCCCACAGTACACTCTTCTCTTTGAAAAGTAAAAGAAAAATTCTTTAATTGTTTTACCATCCCTATCCCCAGGTCCACTCCACTATGTAGCCTTTGTTCTGGACTTCTGTCATGACAGTAATATCCAAACACATATCCCCTTTAAACAGTTCTCTCCCTCATCTGTTTCAATGCAGTAAACATCATTTATCCCATCTTTCTCAGTCTCTCCCCAACCCCGATGTCAGTCCTGTTTTACAACAGTGGCACCATGCAGTATTTGTCCTTTTGTGACTGAGATACTTCACTCAGCATAATGTCCTCCA